AAATATACTTATGTCATATACTCATATATGTGTCATATAGTAAATGCCTTCAAATATAAATGTTTGTCCACTCACAAATATTTATTGAGCACCTACTATCTGCTGCACTGGAAATACACAAATGGGGGGAAAATAGTCCCAAATTCCTGCCATCGTGGAGTTTACATTCTAGTGTGTATTATTGCAAGGGGAGACAAAAAAAAAAGTAAAATAGCTTATGTCCTACAGTGTTAGTGAACTTGGGTTTAATCCTGGCTCAGTCATTTCATATCATTAAACCTTGGTTTCTGCAATTGTAAAAAGAATGTGGTAATAGTACCTATCTTATATTGTTTGTTAAATGTATATGAAGCACTTGACACAGTGCCTGGTAGATAGTAAGAATTCAGAAAATGCTAATGGTAATAATAACAACAATATTATTATTATTATTTTCCCCTTTATTGCTTCAGTTTTTTCTTCAGTAATTTTTTTTAGTTAGAAAGTTTAAGATTAAATATGTTTTGGTTGTTGTTAGAGTGTCTACTCTCATTTGGATGCCAACCTACTGGTGTTTTCTGTTACAAGACAGATGACTTTGGCTAATTTTGAGATGTGTTATTTTCAAGCTTCTTACATTCCAAAGACTAAGAGCCTGAGAACATATGCGCTATAAAAAGCTACATCATGTTGAATAGCCACAAATTTGGGAAAATCCCTAGGAATGTCTTGTGGAATTCAGGGCTGTGTCCTATGAGTATATTTGTTGCTTGAATGAATCATTTCAATCCAGCGACCAATTTATTGAAAACCTACTGTGTGCAAAGTACTGTGTAGAAGAGACACATATGACCTTATTAATCTTTGGAACAATTATGTGTCCCTCTCTCTTAGATAATGATGTTGAAAATGATCTTCAATCAGACATCAGTTGAGCACTGCAAGGCAAACATGGAGAAGCACAGAGAATGCAACTTCTTCTTAATAGCTGTTCGTCTGGCTTCACTGAACCAGATCTTGGATCCCTGGGTTTATCTCCTGTTAAGAAAGATCCTTCTTCGAAAGTTTTGCCAGGTAGCAAATGCTGTCTCCAGCTGCTCTAATGATGGACAGAAAGGGCAGCCTATCTCATTATCTAATGAAATAATACAGACAGGAGCATGAAAGAGAATACTTAATCAACTTGCATGTTTACAGCTTTTGGCAACAAATATCCCTAAACCTTACTGTGAATTTAGACATTTCTGGCATGCCACTGTTTGTGCCCTGAAGTGGAATTCTTGATATAAGGCTAAATGGTCTCAGACCATAGAAAATTCCTTATGTGCCAAAACTATCAAAACACAAACAAAGGAAAATATATTAATAACAGTCTAGTGTTTTTTGGGTCTCTGCCATTTGTAGCTGAATATGTGATTAATTATGTGATGAAAACATATTTTATAAATGATCTTGATCTATTAGGGGGGCAGGAATAGTAAATATTCCAGTACACGGAATACATGGGGAATTTAGCCACATATATCATCAGACACAAGGGATAGCGGTTTGTTTTTGTTCAAAGACTTCTGTGTTCTCTTTCATCGTCTCTCTCACTTTTCCTCTGTCACTTTCCCCCCTTACATTTAAAAGAAGAGTTAAATTAGGGTGAAAAAATATATAATGTATCTACAATATTAATTGCTACTGATGTTATTTAAATGTTGCTCAATATATCAAATTAGTTCTTAATCTCACAAAGTTTAAGTTTTGGTTGAGTTGGTAATTAGGTTTGTTCTAAGAGCCAGTTCTGTTTGACAAATGGCGGAGTTTTTAACTACCCAAATTGCTAACTGTTCTTTCTTTTGAATACACTGTGCACATTTTGCATTCCTACAAGCCCAATGAAAATTCAAGAAACTGATCTAAGAGAGTCAGTGAGGTGATTTTCAGAATGCTAGTTAAGGACTGATTTGAGCACTAAATATAGGTATTCTGATTATTTCCCTTGATTTTTCCCCCAAAAATATTCCACCAAAAGATCCAGTCTTCTGGATCTTTAAATACCAATTCTGATTCTAAAACAAATAAATACTTTGAAGGTTCAATGAAGACTTTCCCTAGTTTTTGGTCTATTTATAAGATAAGAAAATTAATAATATTTTGTGACAAAAGTAGATCACTACATTAAGTTTTGGTAATTGCACTTTTTAAAAAAGTCTCCGCAACGAACACAATGACCCTTTAGTTAAGTCTACACAAAATGCTTGCATATTCTTTGGAGGATTCATTTTGTAAACCCATTAACTTTTTCTTGTGAAGATTTTAATTTGCAGTTATAATTAAATTAAAAGTCATTGCTTTTCCAGTTTTTTAAAATCTTGATATTTATTTATACTTCTTACCATACTGTATTTTTATTCGTGTTTAGTAAGCATTTGGAGAAGAATTAACTTTAACAAGTATAATATCTCTATTAGATTAATTCGTACACCAGCCTATGTCAATCATGAATAATCAATTTAAATGACCATGTCAAATTGAGACAGATGACAAAATCTGTGAAAGTGCTTATGTAATTCATGATGGTTCCACTAATGTAGATTTTAGAAAAGATGATAAATAACCTGTACTAAAACCCATTATAAAATCCCTTTATGCCATAGAATTGGGTTACCCCATAGATCACCTTATGGGGTATAAAACAAAACTACCTACTTTTTGGGGGGAAAAAAGTGCATTTAAATGACCTTATCATAAAGAGGCTTTACCTCTTGGGTGGTCCTCCAACCCTAAGTTATAATCAGATAGACAAATATGTAGTATGAATAGTATGGATTTGTGTGATGCCACCATGATTAGGTTATTTCTTCTATTGCCTAGTATAGCACTTGGAATATAGAAATTGTCCAATAAATATTTGTTCAGTAAATGAGTGAATAAAAATCTACCAAAACTTAGTGCACGTTGGTGAGGCACATGCCATACAGTTGAAGTGCTTCATGCCATTACAGTCTGTCAAACTGATAAAGTGAGTGATTTCTGCTTATTTAATTATAGAAATATGAGTTTATCTTCAAAGGTGTAGTGTCATATTGCTATACAAGTCCTTTATTTGTGTTAATAATTTAGGAGACTTCTGATACTTCTAAATGGTAATGGAGATTGCTATCAAAAGAATATCACTTTTCATCAAACCACAAAAATATGGAAAAGCAAAAGAGCCTGAAACCTATTCTTTACTATGAAATAAATTTCTGTCCTGGGGATACATATTAGGAGGGGATGAATAACAGTTTTTGAATACGCTTGAAAAGGAGGAGGAAAAGAAAGAAATTATGTAAATGGCATATGAATTTCATTACCTAGGCAGCCATATGTTAGTCCAGGGAAAACCCAGTAAGGAATGAAAATCTCAAATGATTTCTACCTTTTGTTGGCAGTTGAGGTTAGATTTCAGAGATGTGCAGAGGAGGCTGAAGCTGTAGTTAGAAAGTGGACATCTACAGTCACAGCAGAAGGGCATGTCTGTTTCTATGTTTAAGTTTATTGCCCTTTAAGTTCATTCTCATATACTTAGTTTGCCCATACATGTGTCTGAGCAGGAAAAAGTGCATGCATAAATGATGACAATTCCTAAACTTTGAATTATTGGCTAAAATACAATTAAGAGGCCTAGAAAAGCACATAGAAAGAAGTGAGTGAATGGAATGTATAAATATATGTCAAATCAGCTGGTGTCAATTTTACAAAGCAGTCCTGATTTTCCAAAGGATGAGTTTATGTGCTATGCTGTGTCATAGAAGAAAATGATGACATGCTGTCCAGTGACAACAGTTTACTTTTAAAATAGAGTAAGTATGGTGAGTGTCTTAAACATATTTTAAGTTGAAGAAACAAAGTGTGTTATCTCAAGATTTACCAAATTTACCTAGTGCTATATACCAAGATATTTTAAGTATTTACTTGTGCCAGATTTAAACTACTCTGAAATAAAAGGTGCACATATATTTTCACTTAACACTTCTTTATTTTATAAAAGATCTCTTGACCATGTTACAGGAAAAATTGTGGCATCTCATGTAAGTTAACTATGAAAGATTCTGTGACCACACTTGCCTTGAGTAACAGGCAAACTAAAAACTCTGACAAACAGTATTTGAATAAGGTGGTTACTCTGTGGCAGTATTCTACTATTAGATTTTCAAGTGAATTAGGACTTTTATTTATTCAATGCTTTTATATTATTGCTGGCTTTTGAGTCCAATTAGTGATCAGCTTTCAACCTTCTCCTTGTCAACAATCACTTAATAGTTTTTTTGGATAGGAATCAAATCAGAGAAAAAAACATAAAAAATTTGTCCTTTGAAATTGTAGACATGCATAGTGCCTACTTATTTGCATAAAATTATCAAGTTCAAAAGCTTCTCTTGAAATACACAGAATACTAGAACTGAGTGATATAGCGAGACTGTAGAGTATTTATTACTACAAACACACTGAAAGCTTAATTGAATTTTCTGTGTTTTATCCATGTAAAAAGTTAAGGCCATCAACCATGGTCCATTTTCACAACTGCTTGTTTATTGCTTGCTTTGTGCCTTTATATATCTCAAAATCTGTTAAAATTAAGGTCTAAAAAATGTACAGAATTGTGCAACTATGGCTAATCCGTAGGACTATCTTCTGAGTTGCAATAAAATGCTAAGAGGTGACATATGTTTGTGATGTTTCATGACATAGGTTATGATAGAGCCAATTTATGAAATTTAAAAATCAACCTAAATTCACATACGTATTTCTTAAGAAGCTGACATCAGTTCAATATTATGAGGAAACTAAAATGTAGCAATTACACATGAAGCATGAATCAGAGAATTAGGAAAAATATTTTATTTTATATATCCTTTGTTTTATAATTCCTAAAATGAAGATTCTATTTAAAGGCTTATAATTTATACGTTTAGTTTTATACCATTATATTATGATACCGTGAGCAAAGTACATTATGATTCACTAGAAACACATTTAATCAGATATACTTCATTTACATGTCACACATTTTCTTTACTGAGAATGAAAATTATTTTATTTTCAGAAATTCTGCATCAACCAGTTTCGTATAATAAGCAACCCAAATATCTAATGAATTACATACTTCTTCATTAGGAGCTAAACTGTTTCTCCCTTCCTCTCCAGACTCTAACCTATGTATTCATTCTCTCATGGAGAGAAAGTAACTTAAGTATTTAGTATTGGTCAAGCTGGAGTTGGTTTAAAGAGAAGACAGAATAACTTCATATTTTTAATATATCAATGCCCTATATGTGAAACATCTGAATCTATTTTCTGATAAGTCTGCTTCGATGGAGCAATTTTTTTATGGGAGTAAACGTAGGAAGAAAAGAGATCAACATCAAGAATAAATCAAGTTTTTCATGCTTTTTGAGCATTTTGGAGATGACCCCACTTCTCAAGTTATTTTCAAATGTGCACCTCTTAAATTCTATTGTCAAATACTTTAGAATTAGAATGTTTTGATCCTTTAATGAAAGTGAAGTGAATGTCTAGGCAAAAGCTAGCCAATCACCAAACCTTAATAGTAATTTGAAAATAGTTTCCTTATTATAGTTTTCAGTGTCTGGAGAAATCAAAGCTGTAATGTTAAGCAGGGGAAAATGCGTATGACTTATTGATACACTTCAGGATCTTTCTCCTTTTGAAAGGATACTCATGTGGGTAGGCATGAGGGGCATGGGGAAGAGAACTTAGAGAAAGATGTGACAGAAAACCTATCTGCTTCCAACCTGTTAAAATTCTTCATCCTTTTAGGCCAGACCCCAGAAACAAAGAGAGGAAGGGACTGCATTTATCTTTGCACACTTGAGCATCAGGAGGACAGAGCGAAGAGTGGCCAGGACACTTTTCTGTAAAAGCAAGTGGTAATAAGTTCACTCAGGTCATTATTGACTGCTAAGCTCACCTCCTTCCAAACTGTTCTGAGAGACAGAGAAAAGAAATACTTGACTTTCTTTCTCCTTTTACCAAACGTTTTGTACATATTAGCGTAAGGTTGTTTAAGCAAAAAATTACAA